TCTCCAAAAAAAAAAAAAAAAAGTAGAGTAATGGAGAAAGACAAACCAAAACCAAAAATTAAATTAAATTTGTGTATAAAGAGAAAAGTTATGCGTGTTTAGTGTTTAAACAAGAGGAGATCCTCTCTGTACCCACCACTTGTCCCTAAAGAATTGAGGGGAGATGAGATGGCAGGAAGTAAAAAGACAGATACTCCTGAGAGTGCACAGTGTCAGCCTGAGTGCTTTGCAGATAGGCCCGGGGTGTGCACACAGGACACAAGCAGAGGAAAGAGAGGGTATACTGATGGGTGGGGAGATGGCAGCAGATGAATGCATAAACCTCAGTTACTACTTGGTTCCATCTCATCTCTCTTACCACCACTGCAGCCTTCCTATTACTTTCCTCTTCCAGACCATCTTGAAAACCATTTCCTCAGAAGACCCATATTATCACCATGCTCCTCAGCTTTAAGATATTCAGGACTTCTGTTGCCCACCAGATACCCATCTCTACAACCTAGCAGTCAAAGCCCTCACAGGCTGGTCCTTCGCTCTACACCCAGCCTGTATTCTCCCTTTGTCCTTGGTTTCTGTTAGACTCCCTAGCTATTTCCTCAAAAGCTTGTGTCCACTCCTAACACTAGGGCACTCTCCTCCCCCACGCAGTGAGGGGTTTTGACCCCTGACTTAAGTATTAACTCTCCTAGTCACTGCACACACTGACCTATCCTGCTTTACACCGGGAACTATCCAGGTTGGGAAAAGTGGGTGTGGGTTAAGTGCTTGTAGAAATTGACTTTCATCCCTAAACACCCAGCAAAATGCTGTTTTGACCCCCAGGGCCTCAGAGGCTATTTACTCCTGATGTAAGTGCAAATTAATGTCCTTGGTCAGACTCTGATGTCCTTCACCAAAAGGAGTGGAGTAATTTATTGGCAGTTACTGTATGAATTTCGCTGCTCTGTCAGCGACTTAAGATGGATTGCTTTCTGCTGAGCGGAGGATCTAAGTCCTTACCTTTTTTTAATAGCCACACGTGGTTTCAGCACTTCTGGAGCCTGGTTATCCATGTCCTACTGTTAGAGACAGAAGATATGTACAGGATAGGGAGATGACCTATGTAGGAATACAATAATACTTTTCATTTACACATTTTGCCTTACATTATAAAAGCGATTTTTTTTCCATGTAGCTTTATCCATTCTAGAAGTAAATTTATTTTCATAGTCAAAAACTGTAGTTATGGTGGAAATGGAACAAGAAGGCAGGGGCCTAGGATTAGGTAGAAGTGAGTGAGCGATCTTAGGAAGTGCTGAAGGGAACCCTGGAAGTCAGCTAGTCCAACTGATTAGGAAAATGGAATCCAGAATTGTGACTGTCTGTATTTTGCATAGTCAAAACATGAGCTCAGCATTCAGACCTTCTCACTCCAGTGCATTCCTTTTATTGATTGTTTTTTTAAGATAGAATCTCACTTTGTTACCTTTGGTAGAGTACTCTGGTGTCACAGCTGACAGCAACCTCAAACTCTTGGGCTCAAACAATCCTCTTGCCTCAGCCTTCCAAGTAGCTGAGACTACAGGCATCAGTCACAGTGCTCAGCTATTTTTTTTAAGAGATGGAGCCTCACCCTTGCTCAGGCTGGTCTTGAACTTGTAAGCTTGGGAGATCCACCCACCTCAGTCTCCCAACTGCTAGGATTATAGGCGTGAGCCACCACGCCTGGCTTATTTTGATTCTTATTCCTTTCCCTTTTTCTTCCCTCTCTTCTTCACCAGCCCATCCCCAGAGTTACTAGATTTCCTCTAGGGTTTTACATTTTGTTTCAAGTAGGCGTTATATGTATTGGAAAGCTCTTTAATGTTCCACAGACAGGGATATGGTGCATATCACCATATATCTTCCTGTGGCTCCCCTGAAGTACTAAAAAATAAAGTATTTAAGGACTTTCCCCCAGCTTTCTGGACAGCCTTCACCTGTAGTAGAGAGAAAAGTGCTTGAATAATGTCAGCTTTTGCTGCAGAGGTATTTAAAAATTGACTTTTAATTTAAAAGGTAGCCAGTATAAACCTAGGCAGCCTAAATAATCCTTTGCACTAGGAATAAAGGATTGGGTATATTGACCTTGCTAAGGAGAAACTGGTGTCTAACCAGGTGGTAATGCAAGGCAATTTTCTAATATAAATGCTTCACCGCTTTGCCTTGAAGATATGTTTTGTAGAGATGATTTGACTTAATATTCTAAGGTCACTTAGGTTGAAGGTTACTGCCCTCTTTATATTACTCTTTTCTATTTCCCCATAGCTGTTTCAAAACGCATTGGATATCCAACAATCCTTAGTAGAACTGCTCTGCTTTGCTTCAATCTCAGTTTGTTTCTATTTCACAGTTCCTTTAAAGCCTAGTAGGTCTCCTTTTGATTCAGGAAATTCAGGTGACATCATAGATAAATTAAGTACTTTTTTTTTTTTTTTTTTTGAGACAGAGTCTCACTTTGTTGCCCGTGGTAGAGTGCTGTGGTGTCACAGCTCACAGCAACCTCCAGCTCCTGGGCTTAGGTGATTCTCTTGCCTCAGCCTCCTGAGAAGCTGGGACTACAGGCACCTACCACAATGCTTGGCTATTTTTTTGTTGTTGCAGTTTGGCCAGGGCCGGGTTTGAACCTGCCACCCTTGGTATATGGGGCTCGCACCCTACTCACTGAGCCATAGGCACCACCCTTCCTCTCCTATTAATAGGTTTAAATTGTATCTTTTAAAATGATTAGTAGAAAGAACCATGCCAGTTTTCATTATCCTTTGTTATGTCATGCATGTGACATAAAAAATCATCAAAATGGGGCAGCACCTGTGGCTCAGTAAGTAGGGTGCTGGCCCCGTATACCAAGGGTGGCAGGTTCAAACCCAGCCCTGGCCAAACTGCAACAAAAAAATGGCCGGGCATTGTGGTGGCGCCTGAAGTCCCAGCTACTCGGGAGGTTGAGGCAAGAGAATTGCTTAAGCCCAGGAGTTGGAGGTTGCTGTGAGCCATGATGCCTTGCCCTCTACCCAGGATGACAAAGTAAGACTCTGTCTCTACAAAAAAAAAAAAAAAAAAAAATCATCAGAGTGCAGTTTGAGTTGAAGGAAACATTGGAAATTACCTCCTAGTCCAGCCCCTAAAACTGTAGGATAAAGAATTTGTGACCCAGAGAAAAGAAAGGTTTTGCTCAAGGTTACCCAGGCCAGTAATGACAGAGCCACACCTACCTATTACTACCAGTCCAAGATTTCTTCCACTACATTATCATAAACTTAAAAAGAGAGAATAAAATAATGAGAACAACTTTTTTTGAAGGTACCTTTGCCTTCTCATTAATAAAAACAGAGGCATATCAGGCTGTTTTTTCCCTAAGAAATCTAAACTTCTCTTATAAGCCATACTACAGCCTTTCTGGTAAGCCTTCATTTCTTCAGTCTAATAAACGTTTTACTTAATGTCACTGTGCTAGTGATAAAAAAAGATGGCTCCCGCCTTCCAGAAAACTACCTGTACTTGTGCTTACCCTGCATTGAATGCCCTTTGAGGGGTAAAAGGAACATCTTCCGTGTTTCATTCTTAGAATGATTAGTGGAGCAGACAGAGAATTCAGGTTTCCTTATCCACCTCATCTTCACCCCATCTAGCTAACAGTTCTCAGGGCCGACAGAGAAAGTGTCTGTAGAGTAGAATCAGGCTTGTTAAGTTTGTGTTCTGCTTTTTGTGCTGTCACCTCTGGTACTCATGTAGTTCTTGTCTCCATCTGCACTTCCCGTTCACTTTGCAGGTATAGCCGAGACTATGTGGTAGAAGGGGAGCCGTATGCTGGTTATGACAGACACAATGCAGAGGTGGCAGCCTTTCATTTGGACAGGTATGTGTAATCCCCATAGGTTATGTTCATTTTGTTTCCTTATTAAAATCTCTTTTGAAGGGGACTTGTGGGCTCTTTCTAAAGCATGCAGTGCTCATAACTGACATGTGACCTATTTCAGATAGCTGATTAACTAGTCCCATTAAACTTGGATGGGTCCCTCATAATTCATATGGCACCGAGAATACCCAAGTAAATATTTTAACTCTAGAATTTTTTAAGTCATTTCATTCTTGGCATGCTGTCTATCATTATCATGAATGAAGATATTCTTAGTAAGTAACTTTTAAACTCAAATTCCTGAATCAAACTGGCCATTAATTGGGCTTGGCAGTCCTATTGTTTTTTTTGTATGTGTTTTTGTTTTTAAGTAACACTGACTGATCCCCACATGCTGGAAACATACAGCATGAATTATATAATGAGTTTTATTGTCCTTTATGCACAACTTGTAAAAACCAAAATAATTCCAAAAGAAAAATAGATATGAATTCAAGCTTTATAAGTTAACTAGGAAAATTATTATTTTCAGCTGTTTGCTAGTCTGGAATCTTGTAGCTGAACTATCTGGTATCCCACATGCTCTTCTGGCTAGCCTTTTATCAGGGCATATCGACAGACTTTCAAAGAAATTATTAACAATATTTGTTTAAAAGATGAATCTATAAGGAAAACAGAAAAAAATGAAGGCAAATTAGGACTTTGTAAGCATAAAAGCAATAATTTTAAAAATCACAAAGAAAAAGTCCAGTAGACTTAATAAGAAAAATTAGCTTGTATGTTCAGAAACAGCATGAGAATTTAAAAGCTAAAGTAATCTGTGTGTTAATAGCTTTAATATAAGTGCCATACAAATCTATATGTTTGCTAAAAAACTCTGATGGAAAATGGTTTGAGGCTCAGCGCCCGTAGCTCAATGAGTAGGGCACTAGCCACATACACCAAAGCTGGAGCGCTGCCTGGGTCTGCTAAACAACAATGACAACTGCAACCAAAAAATAGCCTGGCATTGTGGTGGTCAACTGTAGTCCCAGCTACTCAGGAGGCTTGAGGCAAGAAAATTGCTTAAGCCCAAGAGTTTGAGGTTGCTGTGAGCTGTGAGTCAAGGTACTCTACTGAGGGCAACATAGTGAGACTCTGTCTCAAAAAAAAAAAAAAGAAAAGAAAAGAAAATGGGTTGAGAACACAAGTTGTTAACTGAATAGGAATTATCTTATCGATTACTAACAAATATGGAGAAGTTCATCCTCATCAGAAATTTTTAAAATTCATGAAACAATGGTACACTATTTTTACCTGTTGAAAATGGCAAAGATTAAGAAAAAGACAGTACTTTATTGGCAGAAAGACACATTGACGTTTGTGTGCTACTTATGGCTTTTTTTTTTTTGAAACAGAATCTCAAGCTGTCACCCTAGGTAGAGTGCTGTGGTATCACAGCTCATAGCAACCTCCAACTCCGGGACTCAAGCGATTCTCCTGCCTCCGCCTCCCAAGTAGCTGGGATTATAGGTGCCCGCCACAACACCCAGCTGTTTTTTGGTTGCAGCTATCATTGTTGTTTGATGGGCCTGGGCTGGATTCGAACCTGCCAGCTCAGGTATTTGTGGCTGGCGCCTTAGCCGCTTGAGCCACAGGTGCTGAGCCTGTTATTTTTGTTTTGCAAAGTTTGTCTTTTCACATCAGGACACTGCTGTTAGTTATTTTTTAACTTAGAGCAGAGCATAAGTATTTTTTACACAAAAATTGTTACATTTGATTTGTACTTTGAAGGTCTTGTATTTCAAAACCCTTCCTTACCTCAAAATCCGACATTCTCTGGCCAATTCCCTGACCTCTTTTGTTAGGTGCCACTGTAGCCAGGCTCAAGTGCCACTGTGATATTGCCACTTAGCACTAACCTGGCTGTTGTTCTTTGGCCTGGCAGTGGTCAGTGGGGAGAAAAATTACTTCCTAACCTTCATTTCACTTATGGTTCCTGACTGCTTTTCTGCTTTGGGTTGCTATTTCTCTATTACATTCAGATTTAACCACCTCTCTGGCCTTGGGGTTCTCTTGATTTCTATGTTATTTTGACAAATCGTGGTTGATCTTGATGGGTTTAGCAGAGAATCAGCAGCTCTCAACAATGGATTGTTTATTATGTAGCCATTTTTGAAGGCTTTCTAATGATGTGGGGGAAAGTTCATGATGTAATGAGTTTAAAGCAGCATACAAAACTACATATGGCATAATCTCAATTATACATATATATATAAGTGTGCATATGTATGTTTGTATGTACACGTAAAGGAAAAAATGCTTATATGCCAGAAGGGTTGTACCGGTAGTTACTTCTGGGGTGATCTTTATGTTCTTCATTATAAATTTTCTGTGTTCTAAATTCTGTCCCTCCACCTTTGCATTAGTGAGTGTGTATTTTTTAGCTGGGTAAGTCGTTTAAAAAACAGATCATTTTCAACTGTAAGGTAGTACTTTTTGAGCATTAGAGAGATCTTCATATGTGACTATATTTGAGTTGTCCTGGAGGTTTATCCTTTTAGGTTAATCTGAATAGTTTTTTGTCAGTTTGCTATTTCATCCAAAGCTTGAACCCATGTATGAGATTAGCCCTGTTTTTTTTCTTATGCTTCAAATTTTATTTTTAGTTTTTATTACAAAAAAATTTCTTAACAAAAGTAGAAAGAATGGCATAATGAACCCATTTACCCACTAATTGAACCATTGTTCAATTGTTCAATTTTACCAGATTTACCTTATCCTTTTTGCTGGAGATTGTATTAAATTGAATGCATCTTGACATTAAATTCCTAAATGTATGTCCTTTTAAAAAATAAGATTTACCTACTTAGCTCCAAAAGCTATGTTACACATTTACTGTGATTAGCTATGATGTTTGATCCATTACTTAAAATACATTGATTTTACTTAAAATACAAAGATTTTTTTTTTCTGTTCTTCAACTTTCCAAACCAGGATTCTGGGTTTCCGCCGAGCCCCGTTGGTGGTTGGCAGATTTGTTAATCTGCGAACAGAGATCAAGCCTGTTGCCACAGAGCAGCTGCTGAGCACCTTCCTCAGTGCAGGTAAGAAGATTACAGAGGACATCTAGGTGGGGAATAGCTAATAAATTAAATGGGCGTCATTGAGCAGAGCTGGCTCATAACGTTTAGAAATCGAAGAACTCAAAAGAAACACCAAAGCAAATCAGACAATCTGTTCTCAGGTTTCTCAGGATAATGAATCTAAAAGTAGACGGCAGGAAATCGTAAGCTTTCTCCAATGCTCACCCAAGTGTGTCTGTGAGGTAAGAAGGAAGGTCTCTTACTGATAGTGAAAGCAGGGAATAACTACATTTTCTTCTGATGGGTTTTACAGCTAAGTTTCAACTCAGAATTTGGCCTAAATTGGTTATTATTTGCATAATGCTTGGCTTGTTTTTTCATATACATGTGCTTTCTTGAGGAATTTCTCCTGTCTCTTTAGACTTGAGGAAATCTTAAAGCAACTCTGTAAGCGAGTTAGAGAGTGAGCAACTCTGTGAGTTTGTTGGTGTTTCTTTAGTTCCTTTGTAGGGTTGTATTGTGCCTAGAAGATCGCCCTCTACTAACCCCTACTACTCTGCAGTTGTCAGCCTGTAACACCTTGTGCATGGAGCTGGCTGTGGTGCCTCTGGCCTCTCTTTTCCATATCTTATTCTGTGGTGCAGGCTCTGAGCTAACCTTCTCCTATTCTTGTGGAAATGAAGAGAATGGGAAGAATTCAAAGGTGCTGTAGTCTCATGTTTCAACCTCTTCCTGGTGACTTTAAGTAACAGGGTACTCTCTACACTATGCTATGACTGTTGAAACAGACATTGCAAGATAAACTTCACCTTGCTTTTTGGTGGAGTGAATGAATGGATTTACATTTAAAATGAACTAAAACTGAATATTTAAAGGACTTGGGACCGAGTAAGGCTTGGGCTATGCTTTTCTTGGAGATAACCAAAAGCATAGGGTGTCACTGATTTGTTTCAGATATTTTCTAATCACCTTTTTCAGCTCAGCAAACATGAATTCCTGGTGGGTGCTGGGATGGCGGGGGTCATAAATAAGGCAGGGTCCCTGCTCTTCAGAGACTCACAGGTTAACTCTGGTACATTGTACAAATGTGGAAAGGCCAGACGAGATTTGTGAAGGAGGTTACTAACACTTGGACTAAGTATTGAAGGATTAGTATGACTTAATCCAGGCAGCAAAGAGGAAAGGGTATGAGGCAGAGTAACAGAAAGTAATAATTGGAATAAAGACCTGAAAGTAATATGAGATTGGTATATTTGGAGAATGATGAGGTTACGGACACCCCCCATCATAGGGAGGTAGAAGTATTTGGTTAGAGATGAGGTTTTTAATAATGGATTGGTCTTAGCACAGCCTTGTTTTTGTTGTGTCTTTAAGACTCTTTTTTTTAGAGCAGTTTTAGATTCACAGCAAAATAGAGAGGAAGATACACAGACTTTCCAAGTACTTCTGCCACCACACATGTGTAGCCTCCCACATTATAAACATCACATGTCTGAGTGGTACGGTTGTTACCGTAATCACCTAGGATCCATAGTTTACATTAGGATTCGCTCTTGGTATTGCATGTTCTGTGGATTTGGACAAATATATATTGGCATGCATACATCATTGTAATAGACCACGGAATATTTTCACTGGTTTAAAAACCCTCGATGCTCCACCAGTTCATCCCTTCTGTTAGGTCTTTTTACTGGCTCCACATTTTGCCTTTTCCATGCAGTTGGAATCACAGGCACAATATGTAACCTTTTCAGATTGGCTTCTTTAACTTCTTTTTTTTTTTTTTTCTAGAGACAGAGTCTCACTTTATTGCCCTTCGTAGAGTGTTGTGGCGTCACATAGCTCACAGCAACCTTCAACTCCTGGGTTTAGGCGATTCTCTTACCTCAGCCTCCCAAGTAGCTGGGACTACAGGTGCCCACCACAACTCCTGGCTATTTTTTTGTTGCAATTTGGGCAGGGCCGGGTTTGAACCTGCCACCCTCAGTATACAGGGCAGACACCCTACCCAGTGAGCCATAGGTGCTGCCCGAGCTTCTTTAACTTCTTGTTACTGCTTGTTACTGTTATTCTATTAGATATGTCACAGTCTATTTATCCATTCACCTACTAAAGGGCATTTTGGTTGCTGCCAAGTTTTGGCAATTGTGCTGCAATAAACTTCTTTGTGCAGGTTTTTGTACAGACTTAAGTTTTTAACTCTTTGGGGAAAATACCAGAAAGTGTAAATACGGAGACTATGTGATCTAGCGTAGCCCATAGCTGGATCATATGATAAGAGTATGTTTAGTTTTACAAGAAACCAGCAAACTGTTCCAAAATGGCTATACCATTCTGTATTCCTACCAGCAGTGAACCAGAAGTTCCTGTTACTCCTCATCCTTGTCACCATTTGCTGTCATCATATTCTGGATTTTGACCATTCTAATAGGTATATAGTGGTATCTGATGGTATTAATTTGCACTCCCTGATGTCATATGAAGTAGAGCATATTTTCATATGTTTATTTGCTATCTGTGTATATTCTCTGATGAGGTATCTTTTAAGGTCTTTAGCCCATAGATTAGGTTGGCTGTTTCCTTATTGTTGAGTTCTTTGTATATTTTGGATGCCAGTCCTTTATCCGGTGTGTCTTTTGCAAATATTTTCTCCCAATGTGTGGCTTGTCTTTGCATTCTCTTGGCACAGTTTTTTTTTTAATGTATTACTAGGTAAGTTGGTATAATAGTGGCTAAATTCCGTGTAGCTCTTGCAACTTGACAAAGCACTTTAATGCCGTTACTTTATTTCATCCTCTTAAGTAGTACAGTAAGTAGGAGAGATGTTACCTACATTGCGTGCCCAAGAAAGGAGGCCAAGAAGGATTAAATGATTTTCCCAAAGTCACAAAGCTGGCCAGGTGCAGTGGCTCATGCCTGTAATCCTAGTGCTCTGGGAGGCCAAGATGGGTGAATTGCTTGAGCTCAGGAGTTTGAGACCAGCCTGAGTAAGAGGGAGACCCTGCCTCTACTTAAAAATGGAAAAAACTGAGGCAAGAAGATTGCTTGAGCTCAAGAGTTTGAGGTTACTGTGAGCTATGATGATGCCATGGCACTCTACCCAGGGTGACAGAGTGAAATTCTGTCTGAAAAACAAACAAACAAACAAACAAAAATCACAAAGCTACTGTTAGCCAGGATTCAAACCTAGATTTTCTTTTGTTGTTGTTGTTGTTGTTGTTGTAGTTTTTGGCCCAGGGCCGAGTTTGAACCCACCACCTCCGGTATAAGGGCCAGCGCCCCCCTTGAGCCACAGGCACCACCCTCAAACCTAGATTTTATTTTTTTATCTGTTTGTGTACTTTTGTATTCATTTATTCAACAGAACTGTATTTCACTCTTGTGTGACAGGCTGTGAGCTAGATGCTAAATATACAGAATGGGTAGACTTTCTTGCCTTCAAAGAACTTTGTCTAACAGGGGAGCCAGACATGTATAAGGGGCCAGTGGAGTATGGAGGGGCTATCTAGAAGTTAGGGCCAGGGTGACAGTTAATTTCTTTCCTTTTCTTTTCTTTTTTTTTTTTTTTGAGACAAAGCCTCAAGCTGTTGCCCTGGGTAGAGTGCCATGGTGTCATGGCTCACAGCAACCTCAAACTCTTGAGCTTAGGTGATTCTCTTGCCTCAGCCTCCCAAGTAGCTGAGACCACAGGTGCCTGCCACAACGCCCGGCTATTTTTTGGTTTGGTTGCAGGCGTCATTGTTGTTTGGCGGGCCAGGCTGGATTCGAACCTGCCACCTGAGGTGTATGTGGCTGGCGCCCTAGCCACTTGAGCCACAGGTGCCGAGTCAATAGTTAATTTCTGAAGGTGATATTTTAAACAAGCCTTAAAGGAAATGATAGCAGTCCCCCAGGTAGATACGATGTGAAAGAACATTCTAGGTTTGGACATAACTCTTTTTGTGTTAGAGACTCCTTTGACAGTCTGAGGATGCTTATGGATCCTTTCTCAGAATAGCGTTTAAATGACTTAAAATACATAAACTTATACATGAAACAAAAATTATTGAGGTATAACTTTGATATAAAAAGTGGCTGGGTGTGGTAGCTCATGGCTGTTATCCTAGCACTCTTGGAGGCCAAGAGGACTGCTTGAAGTCAGGAGTTCCAGACCACCCTGAGCAAAGTGAGACCTCATCTCTACTAAAAAAAGAAAAATTAACTGGACATAGTGGTAGGCATCTACAGTTTCAACTACTTGGGATGCTGCGGCCCGAAGATTGCTTGGCCTAGGAGTTTGAGGTCACTGTGGGCTAGGCTGAGGCCATGGCACTCTAGTTTGGGTGACTGAGTGAAACCTTGTCTCAAAAAAAAAATTACAAAAAGCAAGTTTATGATACATAGTACAGTATCATGTGCTTTGTTATTAACACATTATATAAGATCTATCAGAGAGCTAGTCACTGCAGTATTTTCAAACTATGAACAGAAAGGGCACTATGAGATATCTGCAGCAATGCTAAAACAATGTGAAAAATATGCCGCTTCTTTTAATGACAAAGTGATGGGCAATGCCAATATTATGGTTCATTCCCTACCATTATAATCGAAGGAATGGTAATTTTAAGGTAGAGCTTAGTGAAAATAAATATGTAACTTTGTTCCCCTTCAGCTCATAGGCCCCATGAGTTAATGCTGTTTCAGGTGAAGGACAGAGCAGTTAACGGTGACAAGCATGAAAGAAGAGTGTGATGGCTCTGGGGACTAGTTTAGCTGAAGAAAGGGATATGTGTGGGGTTGACAAGTGGAGAAGGCAGTAGGGCAGTGTAACTGAAGGCCCTGTGCACCATTCTTAGGAGAGATTTTCTCTTGGCCCTGGGAGGCCATTTAAAGCGTTTGTACATGGAAAAACGATGTTTGTATTTAGAAAACTAACTGGGCGCTGGGCGTGGTGGCTCATGCCTGTAATCCTAGCACTCTGGGAGGCTGAGGTAGGTGGATTTCTTGAATTCACGAGTTTGACATCAGCCTGAGTAAGAGTG